ACACACATGACGTACATCCGGGTCAGAGCGGAAGTGCTTCCGGGAGACGGCACAGGTTTGTCAGATATCCCGTGCATGGCATGGTTGACAGGGTAGTCGGCGATTGGGACGGCATAGTTCGCTTTATATTAGTCTATCAGCTTGTATTAAGTATCAAACATTTAAAATCAGAACTAACTTGACATCTCCCAGTCGTCTCGGCAGCTGTCCTCACTCTGCGAGAGTAGTTTTTCGCATTTGTCATTGCTCGGCTTAGCTAACCATCGTTAACGTTGCTCTGCGAAAATGGCGGATGCTCAGTCAGAGAAGAGTCTGGATGATTTCTTTGCCAAGCGGGATAAAAAGAAGAAGAAAGAGAAGGTAAAGGGGAAAGAGACTACCGCCGGCCCCACGCCGACCGCGGTGAAAAAGGCGAAGGAGAAGAAGGAGAAATCTGCGAAAAACGAAAACCAGGACGCCCAAGTGGAGAAGGTAACCGTCGCTGCTGCTGCGGCTCGGGGGGAACTTTTTGTCTCTTACCGGTGTCGTGTCAGATTTGCTCACCAGACTTGAGCTAGTGCGCCGGCATGTGTTAGTATATGAGGTTCCAGTTTGAGTTATCTAATATTTAAATATAATGAGTGTACATAGAGCTAAATCTCTGGTACTTGGTGGCAAACATATGCTTAGCAATGGCGCACATTGTGAGAGGGTACCAAAACAGGCATGACACCCATCTTCTGCTGTGTTAAGGCCTTTTTCCATGTAAAATCCAAACCTCGTGAGCTGTTGCATTCAGTAGTTAAATATTGCACACATGCACCATAATAAAGAAGTGAATATTTAGAAAGTTGTATTATTTATGTACATCAAGTTAAGAAGTATAATCATGCAGGCAGAAAGATTAATTCTATTTGATCTACAGCCAAGTTAAATAAACATAATTTACTAGATAATTTTTCACACTGAAATAACAATAAAAAGGTAATTATAACAAGTTATATTGTTGCTTACATCAAATAATCCAGCTCTACACTTAGTGTTGTATCCGGCAACATTGATGGAAAGTTAACTGGAAGGTGGGAAACTTGGAAAAAGGTTTTCAAAAAACGCAGCATAAGAACTGATATTAACCCCCCCACCCCCCCAATGGCATTATAAAGCAAAGCTTATTCAAGATTTGGAGGGAATCACTGGCTGAAATCACTGTACGCAGACAATGCAAAGACATGTGTTGTAACCATTACAGTCACATAGCCTCTCCTGAACAAAAGAGAACATTAAAAGCATCTCACCAAAGCTAAGGAACTAAAGAGCGGAACGCTTTTCATTTGAAAGTAAGATTTTCTTTTATTCATGTATTAATATCCCCAAGTTTGGTGGGAGACTGGAGAATCAATACAGCTCCAGTGTGATATAGATTATCCACATCAAGTTTATAGCGCTTCATGCTTCACTCTGCTGACTATCATGACTGAGATGCAGATTTTTTATGTACCTGGTATAATATCTATGACATCATAGTGCCTGATTGACCAGTCAAACCTAATGGAGAATCTTTTTAGCTTGTTGGGAGTTGAGACATTAGTGCCAAAAATGCAGACCAGCTGAAGGCCTCAGCTACACCATAGGAGCTTGTTCTGATTTAGACACATAGATATGTTTAAAAACTTTACCTGGTAGTACAGGTGTTAAAAAATATATAACTTTAAGGGACTCAAATGAAAAAGTCTTGCATGTTGATTAATATATGAAGTGGCAGCTTTTAAATCATAAGAATAATCCTGTTAATGGGATTTTTTTTTTTTTTGTTACACTTTGTGTGAGTGCAGTTATATTCACTAAAGCTAAACAGTGTAGTTATTACTGTGAAGCTGAAACTTAGTGGTGTTTTACTGCCCAGGAGGACGAGGAATGGAAAGAGTTTGAGCAGAAAGAAGTGGACTACAGTGGGCTTCGGCTCCAGGCCTTACAGATCAGGTGAGTAAAGCGACTTCCTTTCAGCTGCTCTTCGCTTAGGCTAATCGCAATTTTTTTATGTTGTCTCCACCGTTTATCATATCCATCCGATAGTTGGAAAAAATAAAAGGACATTTGGAAATGGAATAATGAGGATTTTTGGATCTGGTTTAATCACTGATTTGGTGACCCTCTGCTGATTAAGGTCACTTTTTTTTTATTTTGTTTTTTGTTTTTTTTTTATTGTTTCTTTTTATGCCCCCCCACTTTCTTTTTATGCCCATGTTCTTAAACCTTTGCTAAAGCTTATATATTTTTTTTTTTAGTGCAACGAATTTCAGTAATGGTAATACAAATGCTTAAATATATATTTCTTAAGAATTTGTATTCCATCCAGTTTTTTTTTCCAGCTCATTCTGATCTTATTAATTGCAGACACCACCTATAAAACATCATATTATGAGCTATTATCCAACGAAAATAACTTTTGCATAAGATCCTTCTGGAAGATATTATTGATTAGATTGTTAGTCCTACATTTGCTAACAGTAGAACATAAGAAGAAAATATTTATTTGCCAGATGCAAAGAATTGAAATTGTAAAAATACTGTACAGTACTTTATTTTATTTTTTTTTCTCTCTGTCACTCATTCTGTTATTTTTATATACTTTTAAGGTCCTCAGTGTGGGAAAATAATGGGATTTTCTATTTTATTCTTAAAGTATCACCTATATCTGAATTTTCCTACTCAAACTCAAACAACTTTGGATATAAAATGTCCAAACTGGAAAATCTGAAACAATAAAACATTAAAGATAGCTAGAGCCCAAAATCTGCCTGAATTTGTCATACTTTTCACACAGACATCTTCATGCTTTTCTGTTTTCTCACAAAAACATAAAAAAGAGGAAAAAGAGGAAAAACATGCAAACGTACTAAAGATGAAAGATACATCATGTTTAAATATTCCTGGATTTCTTTAAATTTGTGGGATTAAAAATGCTCTAAAAGGTGTAGAGCTGTTCTACAAAAGCAGACGAGTTAATAAAATAATCCTGAAACTTTGTTATAAATCAGAAATCATAGCATGGTTCCCCTAAGTATAGAGTTCAGATGGAGCTCATTTAGCTATGTGATATTTTGCATTGTTTGGGAGGAGAAACAGGGAAATAAGTTAGCAATCTTTTACTAAAACTATTAGTGGAAAGACATTTTGGCTTATAACCAATATCATCACGCAAATATTAATTAATAATCACTTAATTTCATATTTACCAATGAATTTTCATTTTTTTTTACAATTTTGATGTAATTACTGCTCTAATGTGGTTGCTCTGTCAGCTAAAGGCATGTTTATGAGTCTCTATACTCCAGTTAATAATAAATCCATTACTAAATTAGTTGAGGTTTATTTCATTAATCGTTAAACCCGATTAATCTGTTTTATTGTTTCAGGCATACCCTACCAAGACTTGTATCTGATAGTTGTTGATCTGAGGTGAAGTTTAATGTCCCTTCAGTACTCACATAAGCTGCACAACGGAGCAGCAACGCTGTCAACCACTTCTGTCTCACTTATAACCCAGGTCGTCGGCCCGCGGATGGTCGACTAAATTAGAGGATCTGATTTATTATTTTGATGTCAAATCCTCGGCAGTAGATCCCTTTATGCAGCCCAGGGTTTTTCTTACAGGTCTGCTAAACTTCTGCTTGTTTGCAGTGATGAGAGAGAGGAAGAGGAGTATGAGAAGGAGGAGGTAGGAGAGGATGGAGAGATCATCCTGGTCAGTGGAGACAAAGTCTCAGGACCCTGGAACAAGTCTGGTGGTGCTCCTCCCCCTGCTGCTTCACCTGTGGGTGAGTAAACTGGTCTCAGTGTTTAAACAGCTGAGTAAAGCTATAAAAGGAGACTGGCTGTATTTTTGGGTAAATATTTAAAAATTAACGTACAGCATGAATGTTAATAAAACATAAGTGTTTGTATTCTGTTGGAACAGAGGAAGAGGAGGCGCCTGAGTCGAAGCCCGCCGGCGTCTACCGCCCTCCAGGAGCTCGACTTACCCCCAGCAGAAGAGCCCAGACCCAAGGTCCTCCTGAGATCTTCAGCGACACACAGTTCCCCTCCCTATTGTCCACCGCCAAACACGTTGAGACTCGCAAGTAAGACCAAAATAAAGGCTGGTTATTTTGATGCGTTGGCAACAGTTTGACTGATTCTGTTAATGTTTTTGTGTCAGAGACAGGGAAATGGAGAAGACCTTTGAGGTTGTGAAACACAAGAACCGCGGCAGAGAAGAAAGCGGTGGCGCCTCCATGCAACAGTTGCAGCTGGACAACCAGTACGCCATCCTGGGTGACAAGTAGAGCTGGTTCCCCTCCGCCCCCCTCCCCCTCCCAGCACCGACTCCCTCAAAGGAAGCTGAACTCCAGCTGTGCTGGCTGCAGTCCTAAAAGAGCTCCGTTTGCCACCACCCCTCACACCACTCACTCACAGTCATACACGATGCCCCTGCAGGTACACTCCCTTCACGCGACACGGTTTGGTTGGCAGGACTAAAGGATTGCATCAGAAGGGACTGATGGGGAAAAAAGGCGGAATAACTGAAATGAATCAGCAGAATTGAATCCAAACCTACGATGACGCTGCAGCATCAACAGGGATGTAGTTGACCTTTGTGGATTGTTTTCAGAGCAGCAGTTGTGTGGCAGAACTTCTCTGGACTTCAACTTGCTTTGACAAAGCCGCAGAGGATCAAAGATGACTTTAGGCTCGATGATCTTACAAACTTCTGTGAAAATATCTATTTTTTTGGCGAGGTCTTTACAACCCAATCGCACGTGGTTAACGTTGAGGTGTGGCTTTTTTGTGTGTGCTGCGGTTGGGGCTTCTGGAGGCGGGAGGGATGCTGCCTCAACGACACAGCTGATGACTACAGAACCCGGGCTGTTCTGTTTTTGCTGTGGTGATGGAGAGGCGGGGCTAGCACCAACCTCCACCGCCTTCTTCCACATACAAACCAGCCAACAGGCTCTTTGATTTAGAAACTTGAAGCTTTGTGTTTTGTTTTTATTTTTTCATTCGTCGACAATGGCACTGCAAAGATCTACAAACAGGAAATAATGAGTTACATTTCTCATTTTAGAGTTTCTATATTAAGTGGCCTTATTGATAGAGCGAAACTGTCATCTGATTGGTTTTTGGCTCTGGATCGAACCACTTTCATCATCTATGAGGGGGTTAAAAAAAATCAAAGCAGGAATGTAGTGCTGTTGTAGTTTGCCTGATGATAACAACTACTAACTCTCATATCCAGTGAACTTACTGCTCCTTGAATTTAGTTTTTTTCCACCCATACATCTCAGATAGATCAACTAAAGCTTGTTTCTAATCATGCTTTGTTCAGTTTTGATAACATGCTTAATTTCAGCTTAACACCAGGAAGTCTCAGTATAATTTTGCAGAAGTTGTGCTTACTTTCACAAATTGAAGTTCAGAACCTTAAATAAAGGCTTTTTCATGAGGTCGTCCAGGGATCGGCCCTTTTTAAAAACCATGTCAACTGCGAACAACTTTGAATCTTAGCAGGCAACAACATTTAAAATCCAGTGAGGACAAACTTAATGCACATTAAACATGGGAAGATGCATAATAAGTTTGATTAATCACTCTTTCCCATAAAAGTGAATCACCGTGGATACATCTTGATCATATCCATGGTGGGAAGAGTTTGGTTTCTTTTTTTCCCTCCATTTTGATTTATTTTTCTTTTCTGGTCTGTTCAGAGATTATTGGTCATCTGCGAACCCCAAAGCTTGTATGAACCCTTGTTCCCTCACAAAAACATACTTCAAATGGTCTCATTTTATCAGACTAGGTGTTCCCGTCTTTCCTTCTTGTGTTTGCGCAGACGAATGAATTAAAGTTCAAGCTCTTTTGAGATATAAGAAAATAAACAAATGATCTCTTATACCAAGCATATTAACAAATAAAACAAAGTTTTCTCTAAAAACTGTCTTTCATAATTTGTTTTAATACATATTTTCAGAGGCATTTGAAAGGCCTGTATGCACAGACCCTGTAGTGGAGATGTAGAAAACCTTGATCACATGACGAGCACTTATCCAGCCTAAGGTAACCTCTGAGCACACCCCTGAGTTCATAAGGATTGGTCAAATTGTTTTGCTTGTTTGTTTTAGTTAGTTTAGCCAAGTTTCCCCAGAAAAGACTCTGAGATTGCATCATTTTTAACCCCTTTAATGTCCATAAAGTCAGTGCAGACAAAATGGGACCTGTTTTATCCTTAACTGCACTGTTAGAAACATTAAGGCTAATTAGCAGTTGCCCAAGGGCCAGGAGCACTTCAGCTTAGTCTGATTGGCCTGAGCGTTCCTGCTCTTACAACTAATAGCCACTAGGTGGAGCTGTTTATTATCGAGTAAATGTATACTGAAATAGTTTTTTAATGCAGGAAAAAATCAGGTTAAAGCTTTCATTTGATCTAGAAGATTCAGCTTATTGATATGAAGCAGGTAACATTTTTAATATCTTGATATCTGTAAGTGGGCTTTGTTGATTGAAAACTGCTACAAGTTTTCTACGATTACTTGTTTAATTTTGTTTACATGGACTTCCCTAAATGTTCCACAAGTAACACTACCTAACATCTTTTTACTCAAGTAAAAGAGTTTATCCAATAAATGGCTCAACTAAAACATTACTGGGTAAAACGGCTACTCAAGCACTGAATTTTAAGCTCAAAGTAGAGGATATTATGTTTAAAATTAGGCTATCAGAGAGTTATATGCAAAATGGAACTAATTGATTACTAAATTAATGCATGGAAAAACATTTTTCCACATCAAATTTTGTAGCAGAACCTAATAAAAGCAAACCTTGGAATAATATGTAATGCATTATGTAAAAAAAAAAAAGGATCAAGTATCGATATTTAACATTTACTGTATTTTTGCCTGCTTTTAAAAAGCTCATTAGTCATGGTGGGTAGATCAACCAGAGATTCTACTCATGTAAAAATAACAATACTCTAACCAGAATATAATTTGAGTAAAGGTAAAAAAAAACAAAAACAAGACAAGTTTATTTGTTTAGCAAAATTCAGTACTAATACAATTCAAAGTGATTTACATAAATTAAATAGAGGCAATATAAAAACAATTAAAGATAAATGATGAATGTATATCTTTTTCAAAAAGTTACTTGGGTAAATAAAACTAGTTACTACCAGCTTCTGGTAAAACACTTTGCTTTACTTTTCTTATAACAGATAAATTCATTACGTAACATGTTTTTTTAACACACATTGTAGTTATTTACTTATAGTGTGTAATGGTGAACAATTTGCAAAACTCATCATCTAAAAACCCATCCTTTGGTGGAATTCAACAAAGTGTAATTCTCTTCTAATTTTCTATTGTTAATGTTTCCATATCCAAATATATTGGTTATTTTCATGCTTATAAAATTACTGTAGGAAAAACTCCCATCAGTTTCTGTCTCTT